GGTGCAGCGGCTCAGGGCCCCGCCATCCCTGCTGAGCATGACCACAGTGACCACAGTGGTGTGCGTGTGGTGTGCTGGCCACAGGCCCCCGCTGAGCCCGGCACCAGCTTGCAGGCTGGACGCCCCTCCACCCCTATTCCCTGGGCATCAGGCAGCCTTTGGCCAAATAGATCTTACTTTCCAAAATGTGTCTTTCTCCTGAGCCACAGCCCCGGGTCCTGTGAATGGGAGGACGGGAGTGGCCGGCAGCTTCCCAGGATGGACACCAGCGAACGGTGGGTGGACGGGTGTCTGTTCAGGTAACCTGTGCGTGTGAAAGCGTGAGACTTGTATAGGCTATGAAGGCTGGCATGACAGGTGTGTGTGTGCAGGTGTGGGCAGCCCGGCGCCCAGAGGGCCCTGTCTGTCCAGCTGTCTGTCTGCAAGCCTCGTGTGCTCTGGCCCTCTGGTCTCTCAGAGTGGGCACCCATCGTGGGCCGCCTGTCCACACCGTGTATCTTCTTTCTGAGTGGAGAGTGGGGACACTTTAACACGCCCAGTTGACAGCTGCTGCAGCCTGGGTCACACCTGGGGTGCCAGGACCCAGCAGGCAGAGAATTCCAAGAATCTGCCCTCTGGGCTGACAGGGAAAGTCCCTGAGCTGAGACCAGCAATAAAGGACTTGGGAGGGCAGGGGCTGACCCTCCCTGGAGCCAGCTGCCCTGCTCTCCACTGCCCCCCCCGCCCACCCCTCGGCTTCCTTCCAGGAGGCCAAAGCCTGCCCTACGGGTGCCCCCCGAAAGCCTGTGGGGGAGGAGGGGCCTGGGCACAGGATCCCGAGGCCGAGACGGGAGGGGTGGGACTGGGACAGGTCCTGCTCCACCCTGCGTAGATGACACAGCCCAGAGCATGACTCCAGGGGAGAGGGTCAGGAGGGCCAGTCCAGGCCAGGGTCCACCCCGGTCCTCGGGGACCCCACACCCTGTCCTCGGGTCTCGTATGCCAGTCCCAGAGTCCCCGTGCCCTGTCTCTGTAAGCAAGGACGTGGCAGAAAGCGGGGGTGTCCTCCCCCTTGGCCTCTCGGATGCTCAGAGGTGCTCAGCCTCACAGCCGCCCGCCTCTCAGACCTGGCTGCCTGGTGCCTGTAGCAGATGGCTGCCGCCTTCCTCCACCCTTAGAAGATGCTGCCCTCTGACCAGGGCACCCTTCCACCCCTAGTGATGGGGTGTCACCCGAGGGCAGGTGACCTGGGCTCTCTGTCACTTGGCATGGTGCCTGGAGGCAGACCCTGGTCTTCTGTAGGTCCCGGAGAGGAGCTGGCCCCTCAGGGGCTCTGCAGTCCCTGTCCTGGGGGGGGGGCAGGTCCTGCCCACGGCACTCCCACCTGCAGGGAAGGAGGGTGGCCAGCCAGGTGAACAGGGATGTGACTGTCACACCTGCTGACCTCTGTCCACAGCAGGGCTGACCCCTGTGGAACCTCTCCCAGCCCTGCCACCGCGGTCAGTTGGAAAGGCAGAGGCAGCTCCAGGGGCAGGACAGCCAGGGCTGTGGGGGGCCCCTCCTGCTCGTGGGACCTTGGGTGGTCACTAGGGCCGAGGGGCCTGATCAGGTCTGAGTGGGCAGCAGACAAACACCAGGCCCTGCCCATGGCGCCGGCACAGTCCCTGGCGGCTCTTTCCTGCGGGCAACCTCGTCCCCAGCCCCTAACGTGAGCCGCGACTCAGGACTCACGACTGAGGACTCCCCAGCCCGGGCCTCCGGCACCCTTCTGGAAGGTCCTGCCCAGCCCGGAGGGTCCAAGGGAGGCTCGTGGGAGTCGGAGCCCACCCGCGGATGCCCACACGGAGCCTCGGGACCTGCGAGGTCGCACAGTCCGGCTCACGACTGGCGAATTGACGAGAATCTTGAGGGGCTCCTGGGCACAGAGGCCTTGGAAGCGTGGGAGCCTGGCCCTGAGGGGGCCCTCAGCTTCTCTGTGTCGCCCTGCTGCCAAGGGTTGCCAGACGTGCCCCGTGTGGCCCTGACTCCTGTCCCTGCTGGGGAGGCTTCAGCCTGAGGCGTGTGGGAAGCCTCACGTGCTCAGAAACCGTGGGCAGCGGGCTCTTCTCAGCAGGCCCCCTGTGGAGGTGGTGGTCAGATGGCAGCTGGGAGGGCAGAGTGGCACAGGACAGTTGGGAAGTGACAGGTGTGCAGGTGGCAGGGAGGTGCTGCGTCAACCTAGACCCCCACCCTGAGGGGGGTGCTGTGGCCTAGAGCGACCCCTCCCTGAAGTCCTCCCTGCGGCCGTGACAGCCGGGAAGGGTCCCTAGAGCCGCCAGCGGTGCCGAGAGGACATGCGTGTGCACACACCCCAGCACAGGCGGCCCTCACGTGTGTGTGCACTCAGGGCATCCACACAGCACGTGCTCACGGGCACTGGGCCCCCTGCCGCGGCTGGCTGGGGCCGAGGACGTTCACCGCCTGTGTCCTCCCTGTGGTGGGACTTGTCCTGCATTCCGATGGCTTTATGGAGACGTGGTTTACGTTGTACAGAGTGCATTCCTCGTCAGTGAGCAGCTCAATACGTTTCAGCAAGTTTAAGGGTCGTGTAACCGTTGCCACCACGTCATCATAGAATGTCCTGTCACCCCCAACAACACTTGCCCATGGGCAGTCCCTCCAGCCAGGCAGCCAGAGCGCCCTGTCACCGTGGACACGGCCATCTCTGGACACCTGGTTAGTGCAGTCCCCACACGTGGCCTGTCCTGTTGGCTGCTGCCCTCTGGCAGTTCAGAGCACCCCCTTCCTTTGTCTTTCTGAAAGGTACTCCCGCGCTGCTTTTTCAAAGCCTATCCCTCATGGGCGTAAAGAACTGAGAAGCTTGAGTTCTAGAACATTCTCAGCAAGCCCATCTACAAGATGACACCACTGTCCAGAAGAGGGGAGAACTGGGTGGAGGGGACTGAGTGCCCGTCTGGGAAGAGGCCTGGCATCTGCCTTGGCATCTCCATGAGGAGCCCCTCACACCTGAAATCCCAGCCGTGGCCAGTAACTGACCAGGAGCCCAGGGGACAGTGCACCCCGTCAGCACGGGGCTCCTGTGGCCCCACATCTGTGCACCAGCCAAGCTTGGATCAAGGATACCTGGGAAGCACTGCGTTTGGCCGGGAGGCGTCGGCTTCCTGGCCTCACTCCCTGGCCCTGCGGTGTCCCAGCATCGGCACAGTCACTTTGCATCGGGCATTATAAGTCACCTCAAAGTGATGAGTTATTCACAAATTGAGAGCCATTTTAAGCAAGGAGCTTGAATGTCACCAACTTGGGGCTCTGGGCAGTGTGTGGAACCCGTTCCTGCAGATAGCGAGGGAACTAACTGTACCTACAAGTGCTGTGGACTTGGGGTATCTGGCCATGTTTCTGTTTTCTCAAAGGACAGAAAGCTGTTGTCTTCTTGATGAAGTGTCCCCTGACTGTCCCTCAGAGGTGTTGCTGGGCGGCAGAGCATTCTGGGTAGCCCATGCAGCTCTGGGTTCTGGGCCTGAGACATGCCACTGTGCTGGGGTCCATGGATTGTTCATCAGTGACGACACACGTCTCTGTTCCCTTTGGCTCGGAGAAGACGCCACCTGCGACACATGGGCACCCACACCCACCACAGGGCTCTGTGGCCGTCGACCACCCCCGCCCAGCTGTCCTGGCTCTTTCCCAGTCACTACCTCCTGTGTTCCCACAGCCTTGGGGGCCCTGGGGCCCTCCTGTGCCCAGACACTGCAGGAAGACAGTAGCTGCTGTCCTCTGTAATGCTGGGGCAGGCGTCCATCCACCTCCTGACCAGCTAAAGTGATGATCAGAACCCAGTGTCCACCTTCCGGAGCAGTTTGCCTTGGCTGAAGGGACGTGTGCTCTCCTGTGACAAGGACCTTGCACTACCCTGCAGAGAAAGCAGGCCGGGCGGGAGGCTCAGCCTGAGTGGAGGGGGCGGTGGGCAGAGGTGAGGTGGAGCCCCCTGTCCCTGGGCCTTCTAATCTTCCAAAGCCCTGGATGGACCTCCTGAGACCAGCCAGCTGCCCCTTAGGACCCTCCTGGGTTCATCCACCAGCAGCCTCTCGGGATCAGTAAGAGGGACTTCTCCTGAGACTCAGGGACGGGAAAGAGGCTCCCCAACCCTAGCAGAGGACAGAGGTCCACAAGCCAGGCCCCTGGGTCCAAAACCTCCTGGACCTGAAATGCCCCGTGTTGGCTGCCCCGGCCAGTGGCCTCCTGGGGCCCTTGTTAGTGCCTGGAGAGTCCACGGTGGCCTCAGACTGATGGCAGAGATCCCACTGCTGGCTCCTGAGAGCCCACACCCTCATGTGCCTGCCATGGCACTTCTAGCTGTCCCGGCCCACTGCAGGGGGCCGATGAGCTGGCTCTGGCCAGAGGCGTCCTCAGCTCCCAGCTAGCGGAACAGAAAGGGCCCCACGGCGAGGTCCCTCGGGGAGCTGTGACTTCAGCACGTTCCTGACTCTGTGGCCAGTGCAAGCAGGAGGTGTTGACCTGGGACTGGGGCATGTGCCTCTCCCGTTGCCTCTTGTCCTCCTGGCCCTCCTGCTGCTCCAGTGACCAGGGCCACCCTGGTTCTGGAGTCTGTGTCCAGGGGTCTGCGTGGCCCCTCTGTCCTCTGAGAGCTGCAGGGGACATCTTGTGGTGCCGGGGTCCTGGCCCTTCCTATAGGGGCCACACAGTGGTCCCTGTCTGTGGCCTGGAGTGGAGCTGCCCCTGCCCAGGTACAGTGAGGTGGCCACAGGACCGTGCATCCAGTCATCCTCCACACGCCCAGCTCACAGCCTGACCCTTGTCCTGCACAGCCACCAAGCTCCTGGCCCTTTGCGGCGAGTGCCAGAGACACCAGCACAGGAGGCACAGCTGGGAGGGGAGGGCCAGTGTCCACCTGAGCTGATGACCAGGGGAGACCAGAGACGGTGGTGCGGAGATGCCACCCAGGGGAGGCGGGACTCCAGCTGCTCACTCCCCCTGGACAACCCGACTCCTCTCCCCTACAGGAGCTTGGCCGGCAGAGGCTGGTCCTGAGAGAGGCTGGGACGCAGCCCAGTGGAGCCAACCCTGGGGACAGCAAGATGACCTCAGAGCACAGGGATGTCCTTGTGCTGCTGCCCGCCCAGAAGCAGCTGCGGCTGGCAGTCGGGGTGAGCGGACATGTGCCCAGGGGGTGGCCAGGAGAACGTTGGGTTGTGTGTCCAGAGGGTAACTGGGGGCCAGTGGGCACCACATGTCCAGAGAGTGATATGGGGACAGAAGGAGCTGTGCACTGGGGGCACCTGGACCAGGGGAGACATCCGATGACACTTCACTCTGATGCGGGCCAGTGGAGCATGTGGGGCTGAGAGCTGCCGGTCCCCTTTAGCGTCCAGAGTCCTGGGCTGCCTGGCCCTCCCACAGCGTCCATGCCTCCCTGGGTTGACTCTGATCCCTGGGTGTCCCTCCTGTGGGAGAAGCTGGACTGGAAAGGCCGATGAAGAAACGGCGCCTCAGGAGCAGGAGACTGGCGGCACAGCGGTGGCTCTGCGTGCCCCTCCGCCCTGCTGCCCTCGGGTCCTGCCCTGTCCTCCACACGGGGCTTTGGTGAAATGTTGGCTTCTCCGAGTTTTCACTCCAGGGCCCCTCTGAAATCCCTGCATCGTCTTCGGGCTGTGACTGTCACGGGCCCGGCCTCTTCCCCCGGGACCCCTGCCTCTCTTCCCACTCTGCAACCTCTGCCCCACCCTTCGGCCTCCCCCTCCACTTGGTGAGGACCCTCATGGCCGGACCATCCCCCTGGGGGTGACGGATCACATTGTCACCCTCAGAAGCGGGGACGCCCTCACTGGCTGATAGAAAGCCCCTCCCCTTCCATCTGAGGACAGCGCCGAGGGCTGTGCCCAAAGTCACCAGAGTCACCAGATTCCCCTCAAGAGAGCGTCTGGTGAGAGAGCTAAGAGCTAGGAGCAGCGCTTGCCGGCCCCAGAGGAGGCCTGGCCTGCAGGACGGAGCCGGCGTGGTCCAGCGGCCACAGCCTCCACAGACGGCTTTTGGATCAAACTTCAGGTTGTAAAACCACACAGAGGAGCGGAAGGCTGCCGGATGTCGCTGGGGACGCTGTAGCTCTGCACAGCCTGCCCACGTCCCGGCACTTAGGGTCTGAGAGGGACACTCAGGAGCAGGCCGTCTCCTTGGACAGATGACCTCCCACCAGTGCGTGACCCTTCTGTGGGGACCATGGCATCCTGTGTGGATGCAGCTCCTCCCTGCCGTCCATCACGGGGCAGTGCTGCCAGGCCATGGTCCTCAGGTCACTGTGACCTCAGGGACAGCAGGGTCATGCGGTTTGCTGCAGACCAGGCCCTTCCCCACTCTCTGCCCTGGGGAGGAAGGGAGGTGACCGGGCACTCACTGGTCCAGGTCCAGGGTCCCTGCGGTTGGCTTCCATCTGGGACCCCTCTGGGCTGGCCACGGTGGCCGAGGGGACGGGAAGAAGCCGTCAGTTCCCAGCTTTAAGCTGGACCAGGAGGCAGCACCTTCACCTTGTAAGTGTGGGTGGCGAAGATGGGGATTGAAATGCTGGCGTCTGGCAGAGTGACAGGTCCCTCCGGGGAGTTTGTTGAGTCTCCCTGGGGACAGCTTGGCGGGGACGGGCTGTGACATCACGGTTCAGGTCCCTGGGAACCTGGTGTCTGCCCGGGCCACGTTTCCGCAGGAAGTGCTGGCACTTAAGTCTGTGGCAGTGCCCCAAGCACGGGGTTCCCACCTGAGCAGGGGATGTCAGGGTCCTGGGGCCCTCTGAGGCCTGCAGTGGACACGCTGGGCCTCCTCCTGTGTGGCCAGGGCGTCTTCTACCTGTTTCCCTCCCGGAGGCTGCACCCAGAACACAGTGAGAAGCCCTGGGTGGGGTCACGCTCGGGGCCTCATGGAGCCCCGAGAGGCGTCTCCTGCTCCTGCCTCCCCACCGTCCCACCCTCTGGCCCTGGAGAGGTGTCTCCTGCTCCTACCTCCCCACCGTCCCACCCTCTGG